CCACACCACACCACACCTTCCATCTCATAACCAACACCTGACTAGGACACACCAATGTCCATAAGCTGATCTGCACACACAATCCACGTGACACAACGAACAGGAGAACATGAACGGAGGACAAACCGAGGACACACAACCAGCGGATGTAAGCCGAAATGCCCAAAACAACAAAACACCACACGATAGACATCGAGAGGAACATTGACAGGTAATAATGACAAAGCAAAGTAAAGCGAAGAAACGCAACACAAGCAGCACTGTCACCGATGCTCCGTCTAGCAACCACAAATCATCCCCTCAATGAGTCCTTCACCCACACTAAAAACACAAACAAACCAACGCATAGCAAACAAAACCCTCAATACATGTCAGCAAATTGAAAGGAGACATAAACAGAGAACGGTAACACTAGTAGTGAAACCAACACAGACACAAATTTTACACAAATAGCGAGCATAAAGATCCTCAACGCACACTAGGCTTCAACCACTCAATACCCACAACAATGCCACATACTTCAAGGCAACATCGCAACGCCTACAAAATCAGACCTCAACAGCCCAACCATCGAGTTACATAACAAGCAAGTGAAACAAGTTGGACTTCGACACGCATCCCACCACCACATACAATATTGCCTCCACCTCAATCAAAAGCATACCTCCACAAAACTGCAATCCGATTATCACTACTTAACGACAGTTCAACAAATCACATTCAAAAATGTATTTACCCACAAATTCCCTTTCCAGACACCGCCACCGCCACTGACGCCGTCGTCATCGTTGCCATTGCCTTCGCCGAACGGCCGCCTCCTCCTCCTCTTCCAATCGACCAGAGAAGACGGAGCATCATCGCCCGCCCCCTCCTGCATAACCACAAACACTACTACATTGCAACACAATACATCCACAGCACAATCACTCACCTAACAATCCCCCAACCAACTCTCTTCATCCATCCACCCACCTACTTCCCTCATCTCTCACACAAAGCAATGTAAGACTCATTTTGCATTCCACATAGTCATTATAATAAAAGTAATGCCAACCGCAATGGAGACAGTAACAAACTCTTATATCACATTTCAGAGACAAGATGTCGTCAGTCTCGACACCCGTGCACATCTACATGTATACAAAGACAGAATGAATAAGAGCAACGTGTCTCTTACCAGGCCTCACCATGGACGCCTCCTCTGTCTTCTCACAGCCTCTGACCTCACGAGGGCCGAGAACCAAGTCCAACCAGACCAGACCAAGTCAGATCAGATCAGGCCAAGTAGCACGACACCAAATCACGCCAAACCAGGTCAACGGTCTGGTCGCCTTCAACAAAGCAGATTACATACAATGTCATTCACAACTATGTACAAACGCTTGCTATGTACAAATTCAAATGCCAGCTCGCTCCTCCTCCTCTCTCTCGCTCTCGCTCTCACGTTCTCCCGCCACCTCCATCTGCCAATCTTCCTTCTTCGCTCCACTTATTCCCACTACCGCTAACAAGTGTCTAGCCCAGGCACAGCATAACTGTACCTGCAATCACTTTCACCATGGTAAAACGAATCTACCGTGCCATTATCATCCTCCTCATCCTCCCAACTGCCACAGCACTCCTTCACGCACCCACCAGCATTGTCAAGAGCTGCGAAGGCTGCCGCCAAGTCCGGATTGTATACGTGGATTTCGTGGAGCTCCTCTCGATCCTCAAAGTCATCCTCTTCTTCCCACGCCCTGTAGAAACTCCGCCAATTTCGTCGTTCAAAGCGCGTGCATCTGCGAATCTCCCTCTCTTCACGTCGCCATGCCTTCAACGACTGACGTAGGAGAGTTCGTCGCAGCAACCCCACCGACTCGTCCTTCGCGAACCGAGCCAGCTTCCTCTTGCCACACCTCACCAGTCCTCGCAACATTTCGCGCTGCCCCGTCATCGCACCTCAACACAA